CATTCTCTGGTTGTTATTTTACAAAAAAAGTTTCCCTCTTCTGTATTTTTTTAAATAGTAAATATTATTACCCCTGTAATAAATAGTTTTTTTAGTTGTCTTGGTGGTGGTTTTTTCAATGTTGGGGAAGTAAGGGAGTTTAGAATACTAGGAGAAAAAGTAGTATTTTCATAGTTTGGGCAGGCACCCCGTAATTTCCAGAATGGAGTATTACAGTTGGGAGAAGAGTGGGGCTTAAGTGTTTGGGCCATCTCAGAAGGCCAAGAGAAGGTTTATTTGGGGGTAGAAACCAATAGGGAGTTCCGCCTGGTCAAGAGTGATAAGAGAACAGTTGGGATTCTTGCAGTGGAATGGTGCTGTGTGAGAAGCTTGTTAAGCGCACCAAGTACTCCCTAGGAAGCAGTGTTTTGAACTATTTCATCTGTCTTTTCTGGGATTCATCCTATAACTTTTGTGTTCTCATTTCTTTAGTCTGTTTCCCTATGTTACTCTATGTACATCCTCCCTGTCCCTTCCCCATTTAAGAGTTTTGTTTTAAAAGAATATGTTGTTAAAAAAAAATTTTTTTTTTTTTTGGTAAATTTTATAACCCGAATTTAAAAATGCCATACTTTGCTTGTAGGTCAATTATAGCTTCTACTTATGGGAGACAAAAACAACGACCAAGGACATGCCATGGAAATTTTCTTCGGTTAGAGTTCTGGTTGTGGATGAAGGGAGTTTGGTATCTGTCGGAATCTTTAAATCAGTTTTAAATTTACTGTGTGAGCGCTCCCAACTTTCTAAGCTTATTATCCTTGGTAAGTTAAAATATTGTTGGTATCCTAATTGTTTGGTTCAAATTATTGTGGTTAGTACGTTCTTTATACCATTGCACTGTTTTAATATCCATATCCTACAGACGGGAAGCCATTTCTCAGACCCCACTCTGAAGCCACTCTGAGTTCAGTCTGACCAGTCTCTCCATCAGCTTGGGTGGCTCTTTGTTTTGGCCAGGATATCAGCAAGCTAGGTTGTGAATGAAATAGAGTTGTGAGGAGTTACTGTCATTACCTAAATGGTGACTATTAAAATAGTAAAATTCTCACAGACTCAGAGTAAATCAGGATGTAGATCATTTGGAAGTAATAGAAAGTCTGAATTATAGACCACTTAAAAGTAATTTTATGATTTTAAGCTAGTAATTCACATTAGACCTCCTCAGCCTCACAAGTCCTTTCCAATTCCGGTGAGATTCAGTTTGATGCTATTAGGTAGTACCGATGTGTAGACCATGTTTTTTAATGGAGGAAAAAATAGAATTGCAATGAGAGAAGCAATATATTTATAAATAACTGTTTTAGGTATTTGAGGATATTGTGAAAGCAGTTGATTTTATTAATAGCTTAAGCATGCTTTCAGTTTCCACCCAGAAAATAGTTTCTCTTTTCTCTAAGGTTTGCTTGTTTGTTTAAAGTAAAAAGATTTTTAATAGAGCAAAATATTATCATTATATAATTACAATTATATTGTAATTACAATAATATCATTACATTACTGGAATTTATTATCAAATGCACTGGGTTTGTTTATTTTGCATTTTGTACGTTAAGTTTATTTGAGGCCATAGATTTTTCCATGTTTAGTAAGACATTGAGCAAGATTGAATAAGTGACTAAATTCTAGATATCTAAGGCCTGTTTTTTTCTTTACCTGTTGGTGAAAATATATGCCCCAACAGTTTGCCTGTGTTTATAGATATGAAAAAAGTTCAATTCATGTTTTACCTTACTGTGTTATCACTATTTTTTCTACCTTATATTGTTTAATTGGAATGGTTTTTTTGTTTGTTTGTTTTTTGTTTTTTTGCGGTACACGGGCCTCTCACTGTTGTGGCCTCTCCCGTTGCGGAGCACAGGCCCCAGATGCGCAGGCTCAGCGGCCATGGCTCACGGGCCCAGCCGCTCCGCGGCATGTGGGATCCTCCCGGACCGGGGCATGAACCCGTGTCCCCTGCATCGGCAGGCGGACTCTCAGCCACTGCGCCACCAGGGAAGCCCAATTGGAATGGTTTTTGTTGCTATTGTTGTTGTTGAATATTTTTGAAGACTTAATGTTCTTAAGTAATTTTAAACGAAGATTTTTTTCTTTTTTCCTCAGAGTAAGTCTTTATGATTATAGCATATATCAGTAGGGAGAAATAAAAATAATTTCTAAATTTCCAGATCCCAGTTACATAAAACCTACTCTATGTATTTTTCCCTCTTTTAGGTGATATTAGACAGTTACCCAGTATTGAACCTGGTAACTTGCTGAAAGATCTTTTTGAGACTCTCAAGTCAAGAAATTGTGCTATTGAACTAAAGACAAACCATAGAGCAGAATCTGAACTAATTGTGGACAATGCTACAAGGTATAATATAACTAAAATTTTGCATTTTCTCTCTGTCGTATTAGAAATAAAGGTAAAAAAAATATTAGCTTTTGAATTAGGGTGATTCAGTGCAGTATGCTCTTTTAGCAAACCTTTTCTGTCCTTCAGGTATATGTATACCTTTTGTCCCACAGTTAGAAAAGCAAAGTATTTTTCATTATTGATCCAAGATAAATTAGTGTTGAAATTTAAGTATAAATGTGTTTTCCTGATTTTAAAAGTATATATGTGAAATAAAGTTGCATCAGGCTTAGAGACCAGAATAAACACAAGGGGAACAGAGACTTGGAAATGAATTAATTAGAGTTCAAGGGTGACTTGGGGAAGACATTTCGTGTAATTTTTATAAGGGGAGCCCAAAGCAGAAAAAAAAAAAAAAGAAAAACAAAAAGATAAAGAAAAAGGTATTTTACTCCTTGATGAATCCTGGTGGCACCTGTGGCGTATTACTCTCCTTAAAGTAGGAAAGAATCCTTCTCTTTCCTTAATCTTTGCATAAGCCTTTAGAGTAATCCTCTGTAATAGATGTGATGGGACCACAGAATATTAAGAGACTTTTTATTCATTGGGCCAAAATTTATCTTTGTTTTTGACTCTCTTTTACAAGGTGCTGTTTTTGTTTCTTGGTTGGTTTTAGGTTTTATTTTCCCTTTATTGGCTGTAGTGCATGCTTTATTTCTGTATCAGCATGGAATTATTTTGGTTCTACCTTATCACTGTCCGTTATTTTGGGAATTATAGGGATCATGGGGCAGTCAGCTGAGTGGCAGAAGATTATAGTTGATTTGAATAAAAATTTAGCACAGGTCCTGAACTGTTGCTAAGATCACGAATTTAGCCTGAAACTTCATTGCGTTAGGTCTTCTTTGTACAACATTCTGTGTGTGTCTGTCCTCCTGCCCTTGGACCTGCTATGTATCCATCTGGGGCTTAGGACCAGGAACTAGATTTCTGACTATACTTGAGGACAAAAAATGACTTACTGGATAACGTAGAATTAAATTGGAAGGTAGATGTTGCTCAAAGAAGTGCTTTCTTTACGATGATTTGTTTTCTGTCAGAAGAGTTCTTATTTCTTTAATGATGGATGAAAAACTTATTAGCTTATGTGGAGGTCTTTGCAGTAGCTATTGGGTTCAGATATTCAGCAGGACAGGGTATTGTATTAGACTACAAGATGCAGTTTTTGTTGCTTAAACATTTTCTTGGTTGGATGTCAGCAGAAACTAGAATATTCAAAGCCTACTATCTCCCTGCCCCATCTACCCTGGAAAAGATAGTGGGTGTAGAGGCAGAATGGACAGGAATAGGGTAGATGATATAGGTTCGTACTGGGATGTTAAGAAAAATAATGCAGTTGGAAGTGTAACTGTAACTCTTCTATAACTAACTCTTCTGCTCCTACCTAAAGTCCATGTCAGTTTTGGAATGTTGGTGGATGATGGGTCATTTTAAAGTCTAGAAATCTTGGAAGAATCTAAAGCACATTAGGTTTCTTAGAACTCAATTTTATCTGCAATTTAGGAATTCCTTTTAGTAACCCTTTCGATATCTTTTGGGCTGAGCTGTGCTCCTTTCATTATTCTTGGTCATTCTTGGTCATCATCACCAAGTGTTTAATGACACAAGGATCCCAGTGATACCACGGAAAAGCTTCTAGAGATAGAAGTATGTTACATGTCCTGGGTCAGAAGCAAAATGGAAATCCATGGTGTTTCTCAGTACCCCAAATTAAATCTGGGTTAGTTCCAGCAGGGACAGCGTTCTTCCCTCTTTCTCCTTTCCTCCCTTCCAGCCCTGTTGGGAAGGATTGAAAGATGACACAGTAGGGTACTATTCCTTTGATAGCTAGGCTGCTGTTAGGTCTTTACAAGGTGTCAGTTTTCTTCAAAATAACCAAGGAGGGACTCTAGTATGACAAGGCCCCTGGCCTTTACTGTGCTTTCTGATATGACTTGTTAGTCTTGGGGAATACAAGAACAAAAGAATGATGATGAGGGAACAGAAACAAAGAGAAGATGTGGATACTTGGTTCAGCTGGGAACATGAGACCATATATATGATATATACAGAAGAAAGGAGAAAAGAAAGAGTATGATGTAAATGTATGGAAAAGGCCCCAAAGAGTTCAAATTAATTTAAATAGAAAGGAATATGGAGCCCAGTGGGCCCAAATTTCCCTCCTAGCTACCCCGCTTTTTACCTCTGTGATCTTGGACGACCCCACTGTAGTTAACTAAGCCTCATGTTGCTCATCTGTGATATGAGGATAATACCTACCTGGTACGGTTCTTTAGTGGTCTGGAGAAAAGCAGGTCAAGTTCTCAGAATGTTGCTTAGTAAATTCCATGACAATTTTTTCTAATGCTTTTAATGTGCTAGGGGTAGGGGACTGATGGATAAAAGTAACATTATGGTCTAGTTAAGTGTATTTTGAAACTCATTTACTGTTTATAATGCATATATGGGTAGCCCTTTTACCCTATTTATGACCTATTCACAGATATTAATTCTTGTAATGACATTATCTCTGCTCATATGTGAAGATACATTTTTGGATGCTAATGCTGTTAGTGTATTATTTTACCTTTATTTAAGAATCTCGAGACGCCAGTTTCCAACGTTTGATGCAGAGCTGAATATCTCTGATGATCCAACATTCCCTGTCTCAATACAAGATAAATCATTTATTTTTGTTAGACTCCCAGAAGAAGATGCCAGTTCTCAGTTCTCAAAAAGTAATCATCACTCTTGTAAGTATAAACTTTTATGTTATATAGGGTTAAATATTTCAGTTTTGTAATATAGTTATTAAATGACTAGTTATAATTTTATTTGATAGTAAAGATAAATATTGCTAGCAAAACGTTAGGCACTGAAAATAAATAAACTAATTTATTAATTATCAAAAGCAGATGACTTTAGAATTTTGTAAAGAAGTAAGCTCATGACACATGCATACTAAGGGCTTGTAAGTAAGTAAATATTTGTTGAGTAAATAGGTGGATGTAGATGATTAGTTTAAAATAAAGCGAAGCCCTAAGTAATCCAGGTTCATTCAGGAGAAAGCATGTCTTAATGAATGAAGCTTTTCTTTTCCAGCAAATACTGTAAAGGTACAGTATTTGCTGGAAAAGTGCAACATTTGCTGGAAAAGTAAATACTACATTTGTTGTTTTGAGTACATCTGTGAAACAAAGTAATGGCTGTCAAACTCTTGCCAAGCTGAGTTCCTAACAGTTCTGTTTCTAGTAAAGTGGACAAGCATCACTTCTAATTGTGGGTGTTAGGATGACAGCGTGGCAGGGCTGAGGAAGTGCACGGGATAGGGAATCTTCTGCCTTATGTGTACGACCCATGTCACATCACTCTACTATTTGTAAAATGGGAGTCATAGTGACAGTGCGTGGGGGACAGTTGTGAAGGTTGAGGGCGTTCATAGGTTTTGAGGAACTATATGAATGTTAGTTTTTTGTGAATAATAGGTATTAAATTATCTGCTCCAAATGAATTTATTTAAATTGAATTTATTTATTTATTTAAACAATTTGATCTTTATATTATAAACTTAACTTAGCAAGCTTTTTTAAATTGTATAGTGTTTACTCAGAATTGAATTAGTGAAAATTTAAATGATTTTTGTTGAGGATTTATTGTAGTTGGCACAGTTCTTCAAGGTATATCCTTCCTCCTTAGCAGCGTTCACGCTGCATGTGAAATTGACATTCAGCTTTATCTGTAAGCCTGTCCTCCTTTGTGTGTCCCCATCTCAGTTCCTATGGGTTAGTGTTCATTCACATGTTACATTATTCTTTTTTTAAATGAGCTCATGTAATAATAGGATTCTATAAATGCCTTTTTGGCTTTTTTTTATTATTATTATAGAAATCGTTTATATTCCTTAACAAAAGTCAAGTGATACGGAAGTGTTTGAAGTAAAAATTATTTCCTTTGATCATCCCCTGTCCTCCTCCCCTGAATCAACCCCATAAAGGTCACGTCTATAGGAAGAGCTTGGAGTTTCTCTTTTTAAACCGTATTATATCCATACACAGACATATATTAGTTTTACATAATTTGGTTTATAAGCTGTGTATTGTTTTTTGACTTGTTTTTTTTTTTTTTTTTTGCGGTACGCGGGCCTCTCACTGTTGTGGCCTCTCCCGTTGCGGAGCACAGGCTCCGGACGCGCAGGCTCAGCGGCCGTGGCTCACGGGCCCAGCTGCTCCGCGGCATGTGGGATCTTCCCGGACCGGGGCACGAACCCGCGTCGCCTGCATTGGCAGGCGGACTCTCAACCACTGCGCCACCAGGGAAGCCCTGACTTGTTTTTTATTACACATGTTGTGAGTAATTTATAGATAATGTTTATTCTCTCCACAGCTTACTTAGTTCATTGTAGGTATTAGTACAGATGAAGAAAGTGAGACTAAGATGGTTAAGAAACTGGCTTTCTTTGCCACTCCATTTAGATCTACCTAAAATATGTTTAGTTTTATTTCTGGTACCCATTCTTTACATTAATGAGAATGTACTTAAAAAAGTTGTTTCAGAATGGTAGTGGAGCTTAGCTGGAGCTGTTTTCTATCTTAATTGCAAACTTCAGCTGGAAAATGAGGCTCTTCTGTAAGAGAATTGAATAAATTACTCCTTAGAGAGGCATATAGTATTTTTTCGTTAATAATTAAGTGTTATTCCTTAATACTTAAGTAATAAGTATTTCTTAATAAATTACTCAGTTATTCCCATTATTGAAAGGTACAAAGGCCTAAGACAGGCTTCGTAGCTGGGCTAGAATTCCAGAGATGTTAAAATATGAGAAGAAAATGCGTATCTTAGAAACAATGAAGTACAGCGTATGTATTGATCTGGGAGATGTAGAGAGAGCGAACAAAGCAAGGAGCAGAACAGCGTGATCCTGTACGTGTGAAAGAAACCAGTGTTTTGTGAGACCTTTGGCAAGCGGGGCTTGGCTGGCGGTGAGCTGAGTCTTGGACATTTTTTAATGATAATCCTTCCTTCATCTGAAAAATGAAGGGCTCAGCGAGCAACTGATTCAGTCTTCCTAGAGCAGGGATCAGGGCTTTTTCATTCCCTTGTGATTTATCTGCTACGAGGGACCCAAAAGCCTGGAATGTTTTTACCCCAATTTTTATTTCTTCTGCCTCTCCTGAGAAATGTTCCCCAATTTGTAACATTGCTGAGAGAGGTTAGAGGAAGCCTGCTTCTCAGTGCTCTGCGAAGGACAAGCTGTAAGTGGACATTATCACTGTCAACAATCTGAGCTCTAAAAGAGGGAGGCTGGTCACACTACCCCACTGGAAAATTTCTTTTACTTCCAAGAGCCTCAGTTTCAGGTTGTAGCAAGGATGTAATCAGTGGTGCTAATTAAACTACTTAATAGCTGGTAGGGTCTGGTCACTCTTGGAATGGATGCCCTTCCTGTGTCAGGGTTAACCTTTTAGTTGCTGAATCATGGGGACATCTGGGGGCTCTGGAGGAAGGAAAGACATGGCTGGGGTGGGAGGGAGGGCACTGTGGTGTTTGGGGAGTGGCTACTTTCTAGTTAAAACAGAAACATCTCCATATGTTATACTGGTATGTAAAAGCTAAATGTCGGCCCTGTATGTAATAATACATACATCATGTGAGTATTGTGAAGGTTAAAGATGAAATCACATACGCAAAGCATATAGATTCTCAAATCATAACTCATGACCACCAGTACCACCAGAACTTAAGACAGAAAGAAGTCTTACGTTAGTAGTTGTGTTACATATTTTGTCCTCTTGCTCATACTTTAAATTCAGCATTGACAAACCATCAGTAAATATGCAGTGGTGATATTACGAATTAGGAGCTGTCCTGGCTAGTGACTGAGGATAGAGCGTCTGGAACCGTCACCTTCATTCTCTTTTCTCTTGCTCCTGGCTGATGAAACAAATGAGGTTGATGCCCCCATGGTGAACTTGTATCCCATTTGGTGAGATGTTTTCCTGGACCCCTTAGCAGGAATTCTGAAGTAGTTTCTCCATTGAAACAATGTTATAATTTAGTGCTTTGCTGTGTTAACTTTTTTCTCTTGAATTATCAGATTTATATTCTGCAGTTAGTACTTTACTCAAAGAAAAGGACCTAGAAGATGCAAAGACATCACAATTTATTGCATTTAGAAGGTAAAGCATTTACAAAATTTTGATGTTTTTAATGAAGCTTTTAAATCTCATACCTTATGAATCTAGGTGCTGTTGGAATGGGAGACTGGTAGTTCATCACTGTGAATTCTCTCTCTTATTTTGAGGTATTTCTTGGGTACGTCCAGCAGAAGGCAGTTTCTAAAGAGGGCTCTTTCTTTTTATTGGCCACACCTTGCAGCTTGTGGGATCTTAGTTCCCTGACTAGGGATCGAACCCAGGCCCTTGGCAGTGAGAATGCTGAGTCCTAACAACTGGACTGCCAGGGAATTCCCTAAAGAGGTGCTCTTTCTACCAAATATTATATTTGGTAACTCATAGGAAATCTGAGTGGAAGAAAGGGTTAGGATCAAAATTACAAAATACTTTTCCTGGAGAAAGTCCTAGAAACTTTTTTTTTTAAAAGATTTATTTATTTATTTATATTTTATTTTTGGCTGTGTCGGGTCTTAGTTGCGGCGTGCGGGCTCTTCGTTGTGGTGCGCGGGCTTCTCTCTAGTTGTGGCGTGTGGGTTTCCTCTCTCTAGTTGTGGTGCGCAGGCTCCGGAGCGCGTAGGCTCTGTAGTTTATGGTACGCGGGCTCTAGTTGAGGCGAGTGAGCTCAGTAGTTGTGGCACGTGGGCTTAGTTGCCCCGTGGCATGTGGGATCTTAGTTCCCCTACCAGGGTTTGAACCCATGTCCCCTGCATTGCAAGGCAGATTCTTTACCACTGGACCACCAGGGAAGTCCCTGTCCTGGAAACTTTTGATAAAATCCAGTATCTCATAATTGTTGGTAACAGAAATCCACACAAAAGAGGTTCCATTAAGGTGACCCTTGTATTTTTCTGTGTTCCAGGCAGGACTGCGACGTGATCAACACCTGCTGTTGCAAGCACTACACCGGCCGTCTAATCAAGTAAGGACAGTGCTTCCTGGATTTGCCATACTTTTGTTTGTTTTGACATTTATCACTGTAGCCGCATATTTTAAAATCTTTTTTCTCCTTTGTGAAGTCAAATGATATCTTCAATTAAATATAATATATATCCTTAGGAATTGACTATTTGGTAATCAGGGTAATAAGAAAAATAAAGAATAAAATTGTCCCTGTGGTTTCCTACCTCTAGCTTCTCCAAGATGAGTGTGGAGAATTCAGGGCAATTTTTCAAATTAGAATGTGTGTGGAATGTGTACAAGAACCTTAGCAATAGGGTGCCTACAGAGAGCACCTTAGGTGGACTTTTATCAGGGAAAAAGGAGCATAGAAAAGCCACTCTATTCACACGTAGGACAGACTAACTCACTTCTCTGGCATTTATCAATACCTATTTTTTATTAAGTGCAGAGAACCCAGAGACGTGTAAATTACAAGAGGAGCTCCCTGTTTATTGAGGAAAGACAAAAAAACCATGATAGGTAGCCCAACAAAGGGTTGAAAAGCATAAGTTTGGGGCCATCCAGTCTGGGTCACAGTAACTGTGATCTTGGGCAGGTAATTTCACCTTTCTATGTATGTAAAAGAGGACACTTACCCAGAATTTCCCTCATAAAGCTGTAGTAAGGATGTAATGAAATAATATACCTAAAGCACTTACCACGGTAACTGGTATTATCACCAGCACTTATTTGATTTGCTGCTATTATTCTGATAATATAATTATTACAATAGCAATATGTGTAAGTGCTGTAAGATTTGAATTGGGGTAGTGATTAGAGAGATTGGAGAGGAGAGGATGAATTTAAAAGGTAGAGTCAATAAGGTTTTTGGTAACTTTTATAATATAAAGGCAAAGAGAGACATCAGCCTTCATGCCAAGATTTCTAACTTTGAAAAAATTCGACTGGGAAATGTCACTGAGTTTGAGGTGCTGCAGAAAGTGTAGATAGATCACAACTGAGGGAGCCTGATTTCTTGTTGACCTTTGGAGAACAAAAGTGACGTAAAGAGACTGTGGAAATAATTTTGAGAACTGGATCAGATCTGAGTAAGAGTCAATGCTTAAAGAAAATGAAATTGAGGTTTTCCCAACTCTGATGCTGTATTATTATTTTCTAACCTAGAAACCATCAGAATAGACTTGAATTTGGAGTTGGTGATAAAATTTGTTGTACCAGGAACGCGTATCTCTCAGACTTACTCCCTGAAAATACCTTCAACAGCCAACAAAATAATGAACTAAAGGCCGGTGGCGAAGACTTTAATGGTACTCCTCATGGTTTTGCTAAAAATAAGCATGACTTTGAAAGTGGTATTCGACTCTGCAATGGAGAAGTATTTTTCATAACAGAGGTAAATGATAACAGAAAAATAGTACCTTTTTACCTATGAGGGATAGATTTAGTTTTCTTTTATTGCCCGAGGATTGATTCAGAATTTAATCATATCAGAGCTGGCATTCTTCTTCTATAATTTTTTGTTAAGGATTTTTGCATCTGTGTCCATGAGGGATCTTGGTTTGTAGTTTTCTAGTGATAATCTTGTCTGGTTTTGGTGTCTGACTAATGCTGGCCTCATAAAGTGAGTTGGGAAGTGTTCCTTTCTCTTACATGTTCTGGAAGACCTTGTGAAGAAACATTTTTAATAAGTTTGAAGTGCTTGAGTAACAAAAACAAGGGACAAGTGACACACTTATTATATTTTACAAAGCATCACTTGCTTGGTTGCTGTGTAAATGTAGGAACTATAGAAGTGGTCACCTTGAATTTGTCCTCATTGTATAAATACACTTTTAAACTTACAAGTTTATTCTTTAAAATCTGTGAGGAAAAGTAAACTCTTTGCAAAAAATACATGCAGACTTACATAGTCAGTGCAAGAAGTGAAATGTATAGTCTTCAAAATAAGAAAGACAACACAGACTGTTCTCCAAAGAGTCAAATTAAGGTTAAATTTCAAGCACCAAAAACTTCCATTTGTGGTTATTAAAATATTTGGGTGTGTCTGTATTCAGTTGATGCTCAAGCATAGATTTTAAGCTTTTTGAAATTCTTAACAATTATACATGCTATTTTATTTATAAGGTGCTTGCATTTTATGTTCAACCCCAAAACAGACCTTTACAGTGTACATATTTGAAAACATACAAAACCGTTATTTGTTTTGATGACAGGATAAAACTGATATAACTTTTGGAAAGAAAAGATTTTTGACCATTAATAATATGGCTGGCTTCGAAGTAACTGTGGATTTTGGGAAACTAATGCGATATTGTAACATAAAACATGCATGGGCAAGAACTATTCACACTTTTCAGGTAAGAATGGACTTTTATAAAGCAATTTAAATAGCTTGCCAAGATAGAGTATCTTGCATTATTTTCTTCCTAAGTTTTGTTGCTTTTATTATTTTTTTAATTAGGAAACAAAATACACAAAAGTACAGAAACTACTGTACAGACACTAATGTTTTGCACTCTGCTTCAGAGCTGTCTTTATTTTCTGGATCTAAGACATAGTTAAAGCCTCATCCTGCAGGCCTTCCCGTGTCTCCCAGGAAAAGAGCAGTCAGGACCAGAATAACTGAATTTCCCTCTTGCTTCCGTCTCCAGTGTCACTTGGCATGGCACTCTTACTGATCTTGCCTTTATTTAAAATTTTGATATTTTGTTCATTGTGGATCTTTTTTGCTCTAAATTTTAACTTTTAAATTATTTTCTTAAACTGAAATATAGTTGACTTACAATGTTTCAGGTGTACACAAAAGTGATTCAGTTATACGTGTAAATATATATGTATATATATTTTCAGATTCTTTTCCATTATTGGTTATTACAAGATATTGAATATATCAGTAGTGCCCTGTGCGATATAGAAGGTCCTTGTTGTTTATTTTATATATAGTAGAGTGTATCTGTTAATTCAAAATCCCTAATTTATCCCTCCCTACCCCTTCCTTTCCCCCTTTGGTAACC